TCAGCTAATTTTGAAATATATGTCCTTCTAAATATTTATATGTGTACAGACATTCAGAAATATTTATTGTCCATACAAGATGTGAGAAAAAAAAGACCAATGTTCTTTTATTTAAAATTAAATAGCTCAGTAATTCCAGAATAATGATTTTTTTGCTAAAAAATAGTAGTATTAGTAAAAACTATTTTTTTAAATGACCACACTGTTGCTTATTCTACAGCAACATATTTTATTTCTTTAGAGTTATATTTATTTAGGGCACAAAGAAGAAAATGGTATGTAGGACAAATACATTTAACACCAGACATTTAGAACATGTGAAAACTTGCTTTTTTTTGCATTATATGTAGAATATAGTAAGTAAAATATGTACAATGTAGTCTATAGTACATCTATATGTCTATATATCTATAGTCTCAGATTACTTCTGGCAATGTAGTCTTTGCTCTACAAACATGAGACATTGTTTGTTTTCCAACTTACCTCCGCCCAGACCTCTATCTGGGAAGGACAAATTTTACTCAACACTGGTAATAATCAATTGATCTCAGTACTATCCTCAGTCTTCTCTCCATGTGGTCATGAGCTTGAAATCCACCAAAATCATTTAGCTGGTCTGGCTTTTGTCATCTCAGCTGCATGCTCAAGGCACTGTTTGTTATCTCATATATCAATGAATATTTCTACCATCTGCTCCATCTTCTCTACCAAGTCATGGTGAACATTACCAGACTCTTGGCCTCCTGTTTGTCTAACAGTACAAAAAGGACTCTAAAGGTAAAAAGATCCTACCACACAGTGAAAGCACTTTCCTACAATATTCTTCATCCCCTGAGTTGGTTGTAAAGTTTCTTCTGCAGTTCTTCTTACCACTCCTTTACGGGCCTTTTGCTCATTACTGGTACCCTACATAAATGTCACACAATCTTCTAACTGGTTCTTAATTGCTATCTGATATTTCCCCATAAAACTGAGCTTGTCAATGTTTCTGATATACCCATGACTAATATATTTTCTTGGAGTCTTTATGTCTCTCTCTTACCCACAGAAAAGCTGGAAAAGGATCCTGGAATTCAGGAGTTAAAGCTTAATGGCTCCTGGGGAAAAGAGATAGGCAATTGCTCTCCTTTTGAGCTCTCGTCAGGTCAGCTGGAGCAGCAATATGAAATGCTCCAAGCAAAAGGCAGGGACTGGCCACTCAAGCCATCCCAGCCTCTGGAAAAGCTGATGCCCTTTCCCTGGCGCCTACGCAAGGCTGCTGCCACAGTAGTGCCTCCACCACCAGCACTGTGATTATTTGGCAGCTTACTGACCTAGGCGGTTTCCTGTTTTGCCTAAGCCTAAAGCCATCCCTGGGTCCATGTTCCCAGTCTGGCAAACAGCAGGAGGCACAGGTATGACAAAAGCTCACTGGCATTACAGGCAGTCCTCGTATCAGGCTTTTAGGTGCTGATGGGTCTTTACTGGTGGTAACGTAATGATGGAGGAATGCAGCTACTGCCAGTGGAGACAGCAAGTGACGGAGTCTTTGGAGATCCTGCACATATACCTACAGTATCAATTATCTCCTTACATCCTTTTCTGGCTGTAGCTGTAAGTTACTTGCCAGTGTACCTAAGATGCAACTTTCTTTATCTAAAAGTATTAATGCTAAGCACACTGATTCCAGATTCAGCTGAATGAAAACCGACCATAAAAACTTAATAGTACCAAATATTTGTAGATGCTTAAAATTATTCACAAATCATCAATCAACAGACAGAAGGAGGGGAGTACAGAAAATAAATTCTTCCTAAGGAATCCCATATTTCATATGACCAGCAAAAATAAGTTTTTACTGACACTTCTGACCAATTCTCAAACACAGACTTGCTATATGTATCTGTATTAATAAAAACCATTAGCTTGCTCTCCTCCCTCTCTAATAACCATCCAGTCTGAGCTTAGAAGCACCAATGAATTTTAGTGTCTATTGTCCTTGCTCAGCTGTATGCTGCAGGGCTCACAGGACTCATTGCAAGGACACACCTAAAATGTAGGAAATCCATCCTCAGCAATCCATCACTTTCTTTTCCAGACTTCTTCACTCCCTTCCCTTCTACACATACACCCACTTCTGTTTCTACCTTTCACAAGGAGCAAAGTTGAGAAGAGGAGATGAGACTGCTTTCTAGATAAGATAGAGACAGGGAAAGGCAGTTCATGTGGCGTGGCCCAAGTGAAACCTGCCCTTCCGGGTCAGTTCCAAGTTTTAATGTAGACAAATCCATCCTTCTCATGGCATTCATTACATTGAGCACTGGAGGGCAAAAGGTTAAAAAGGCACGTATTTCCATATGTCCTGTTTATATGAATTGCTAAGGTCAGGCCTGAGTTCTCCTGGAGGTATGGGGAGACACACTGGAGGAATCTTCTCTCCAAAGGAAGCTCCCTAGGGTTTAGACAGTAATTTCAGAAGTCCTGGACAGTGTCTCATGAGCTGTAATCAGTGCAGGATTTTCCTCTAGGGACAGGACTACATGCTCATAAAGACATGATGGAATGGAAAACAAAAGAAGATTCAGACATTTCAAATCTCTTAGAAGTACTGGGTCATGCTGAGCTGTGTGATAGCCAACAAAACGACAATAGGAGCGCATTTTTCTCGTTGTCACCGTCCTTCCCCTTCTCTTCTCATGTTCACTGCCTTCCACCAGGCTCGATGCACTAACTCAAACAGCAGAAAGAGCATAGCTGTGCTATTGCTTTCTTTTCCCTGTATTGTTTAGTTGCACTCTGGTTCAAATTACACTGTTAGCCCTCCTGCTGCGGTCTGTGTTTATCCATCAGATTGTGAAGCAGCAGCAACAGCACAAGAGCCTTGATAGCCACAGGGCATTGGAAATCACTTAGTAATAATAAATGATCATATATAGGTCAATATTTTTAAAGTATTCAGCCTACAGTGTTTCAAATCTAACAATATATGTGATGAAAAGTTATTTGCACCCCTGCCATTGTCACTGGGGTTTGAGGAAAGCTAGTCTGGAAAGGCAAGTTATGGAAAGGACAAGATCCAGCCCTGAGAAACCCTGAGTTGTCTCTGTGAGGTCCTATTTGAGGTCCCTATAAGAGATTTCTTGGCACACAAAACACAGATTTGGAGGAGAAGTGGGTAGTCTCCATTTACCAATAAACATTAAACATGTTACATTGTGTTCTTTGGAACGGGGGTTCAAAGCTGAGCTTCCCAACTCCCAGCCTAGTGGGAAAACCAACAGGCTCCTGGAGAGTTGTTCTTAACTTCTCTCTGCAGACGGTTAGTACCTAATGACCTTGGACACTCCCATGAGTAGTGCAGAAATGAGGCAAAAGATGAACTTAAATGCATGTGCCCCATAAATAGAGTAAGCCTGAGTATTACAGATGGCTGAATTAAACTCTGTCTTCCCACGTTTTATGAGAAAGGTCTGATTTAAGCATCTAGCTCAAATAGGAGATTCAAACAGCTAATAGATGGCTTCTTAATCCTCTTTACAGCCATGGATTAACTGCTAAATTTCCCTCCTGAATACTGCTGAGTAGTCAGTTTAGGTTGCCCCCTGGTTCTTCAGGATCCTCACATAAGATCTTAAGCTTTGTCCCTACATGCTACAGGAAGATTTGGTGTTGAATTTAAGGACTGTGTAGTCTATTGCTGGTGAAATGGCTAAAAAATGAACATTAGCACCCTTTACACAACTTGTCTTACATGAGCATGTTTCTCCAACTTCTAGTGGTTAGGAACTGTTCCTAGCTCTGCTGAAGTCAGCTGCCAAACCCACACTGGCTGCAGTGGTGCAGAGTCAAGTCCCATCATCACGCTGGCCAGAGTTCTCCATTGATGGAGCATGTCCTGACGTGGGAGGTACTTTCATGGAGACTATAAATAAAAGAGTGGAACAGAGGGGTCAGGGCCCATGGAGTCTCGAGGATTTATCCAACACAGATCACAAAGTAAAGAAAGAGCAAATGAACTTCACTCATCAAGTACTCCTTTCTAATGAGAGGGCTAGTTGAGCCTCATTTGACTAAAGCTTTATTACAGATTGTGCACTAGCTATATCAACCAGAAGGCAATAAAGCTCTTCTATTTAGTTTCATATAAATTGCTGTGATTGCTGACTATAGGAATCTTTGCTGTTACCTGAAATGATCCCTTCTTGAAGAAGTAATAGCAGAGTAAGATGGGTGATCATCAATCACTATAGGGTAATAGTTAGAGGAAAACAAAAAGGGGCACAATAGCATTAAATATTTTATGGGGCAATATTTTAATTTTGTAATTAAAAGGCATCATTAACTCTTGATAAAAAAATCACTTTCCCACAGGCCAGCTTCACAGGATAGAACAGTTCAAAGGCCTGATCAGCTCTGGTTTTCTTCCAATAGACATCACAGTGCTGTCACCTCGGCTGTGACACAAAACAGGGATCCGTAAATGTGGGGGCTACACTGTGGGCTACAGACCTTTAAAGAAGCTTTTTTATTGCCCCACTTCAGCTCATCTCTTATATTCTTCTGTTATGGTGTTGGCACTGCTCATATTCCTGCTATTGGATGATCATAGCTGGACTGTGTGAAATGTAACTTTGGCATTGGGCCCTATGTGCAATATCAGTATATTGTATAATTATTGTTATGCTTCTGTGCTACAGAATTAATTGTAAATATCCTCATGGCCCTCATACTATACATAGGTGGGTAACTTCAAGAGATGTTGTCTAGTCATGCACTTAGATAAAACTGGATTGTGGTTAGCCCTTTCCTGGGACACACTGCAGCGAACTGATTGCAAGGAAAAGATGCGTGATTTCAACAAAGTATCTCCCATACATTCATTATCACTTGTTCATTCCTTAACAAGGAATTACAGTTTCGAAGGATTCATCTACAGCCTGTCCAGACCTGTCAAGTCACATGTGATGAGTAAAGGCCTGCTCACCCTTTTGGCCCCCCTCTCAGCCTGTTACCTCGTGGTGATGTCGCAGGTTTTGGAGCACGTCCAGGCAGCCTCTCTCTTTGTTGACCCCATGCGTCACGTGCAGCCAGCAACTGTTATCAGCTCTTCCCCGGGAACAACCCTCTGTGTAGGTCCTATCTTATCACAAGCTTTTCCAGCACAATTCCCGTATCTTGCAAAAATCTGCTTGCAATACATTCAGCAGCTCCTCTTACTGCAGTGTTATTTACGTTCCTTTAAACAGATGCAACTTTTACGCGAGTTGGGAAGGAAACGTAATCCTGACTCCATTTAGTAAAATTTATGATTATCTTGGAAGGCCAGACATGCCTGAGAGGAGTGTAATGTGACTACTGAACTCTGCATAACACTAACCCCATCCTCAAAGCGCATGGGAAAAATTCAGTACTTTTTTGCTGATTCAATGCAGAATATTTTCCATTGTTTCCTCCCAAAGCAAAGTGGACTTGTATGACATACACTTACTAATTCACTCCTAGCTTATATTTTTCAACAATTCTTTTCATTGCTAATCTTTCATATATGCATGGGTGGATTACTCATGGCAACACAAACCTGTTCAGCAAGAAAGAAACTACTGCATAGAAGATGTATAAATCTCCATTACACATTTAAAAATTGTAAGCGATAATGTATTCTGGAGTTTCAGAGTGATTTCAAGAGTCTTTCCATAATTTTTAACTTTTATTTGGAGAAAACTTGTTAGTTGACTCTAGATATTTTTGAATAAATGTGCCAATTTGGTAAAGTTTTCTCAGGCACAGTATATGGTGTCTTATACTGAGATTGTTGTGTCTGGTTAATTCACAGATCTGAAATAAGGAAATTCAAGCTTTTGTTGTATTGTTTAATTAATTTATTTCTTACTGAATGCACAGGTTGGGAGAAATATTTTGGTTGTCACAGCAGTGTGACAAAAGACACAAATACTCCAAATTAGAAATTCATATGGTAGGAAATGTGGACCTCAAGCATCTTCACATTGTGTTATTCAAATTTTCAGTCATAAGGTTGAACCGACAACATTTTTTCTCATTGCTTTAATTTTCTAACTAATGCATAGAAATGAATGAATTCTTATTAAAATATGTATTCACTTTGGAGTCCCTGAATGAATTTTTAAGCTTGTTATGAAACTAAAACTATGCATAATTAAAGGAAAATAGGAAAATAAAACTTGCCATAGCTTTAATTTTGCAAAACAATCCAGTAATTAATCTAAGAAACACAATAACGCCTAAAGTAAAAACACTCTTGTAAAATATAAGTAGCAATTGGTTTTCTTCAAGAAAGACATGCCTATCTGTTGAAACTTCTCTGTACTGCTGAGTAGGTCATGTGATACTATGACCAAGAATGAATTGACTAAATTGATTAAAGTACCATGTTTAAAATAACCTGATGAAATATTTAATTTTAAAAGAATATTGCAATTTATAGGAGAAATCCCTGTTCATTAAATAAAAAACTGAAACAGAGTTATAATTATAGCACCAAAAAAGGGTAAAATATGCTTGTAAGTTATAATTCTAATAGAATTATAGCAAGTTCAATGAAAAATAGAGTCTAATTCTCCCACTACTTACATACAGAAAGAACTGATTCAGGCCAGTTTATTGCCTGTCTACATTCATAAATGGCCTGTCAGATGTCTGGGATGAAATTTCACTAAATCATTTTTTTAATAACTTCAGCAAAATATGAGAAAGGGACAGGGCTGGCATCCTTTTTCAGGGCATGCTCTTTCACTGTATGCCTTGTAGTTTTTTACCATATGACAAGTGGTCCCAGCTGGGCTATCACCAGAGCACAGACACCTTTAGGAAGACACATCTCACTTGCATTGCTTGTTAGTACGTTGGACTGCTCTGGTCTGTTAACATCTATGACTCACTTGTGTCTATGCCCCTGTTTAATATATTTTATAATAAATTCTTTAGTGAGCTGGAGTTGAACTGTTCTAGACAGCCTATATTAGCATGACTCATTATTATCTAAACATTTAAAGGTAGAACTGGATCTCTGTTGTCTGGTTTCAGCACAGTCAAACTCAGCTTGCAAACATATGCTTGCCTGGAGCTGTATCACTTAAGCTTGAATTTGCTATGCCAAAAGCAGTATTCATTAGTCAATCTTGAATTTCAAATCCTGGTTGTAATAAGTAATTGAGAGAATTAAATGTTTTAACAAAAGTAAACACTAAAACTATTTGAGAAATATTTCTTCTGATTATCAGGGTGCTGCTCTGTCCCCACATAATGAATGTTCTGTGCAGTCCTGATCCTCCCACCTCAAAAAAGGATATGGAAGAGCTGTAGCAGATCCAGAGAAGAGCAATAAAGATGATCAAAGGTATGAATGACTTCCATGGGAGGAACAATTACACAGACTAGGAAACTTCAGCTTGGAAAACAGACAATTGAGGCGATATATGATAAAGTCATAAAAAATGGGGAGTGGCATGGGAAGGGTGAATAGGCATCAGTTGTTCATTCTCTCTCTCAATAGCAGAAGTAGTGACATCAGATGATGGTTGGTTCAAAACAAACAAAATGAAGTGTTTTTTCATGCAGCATGTATTAAGGCTAAGCACTACTTGCAAAAAGGTTTCGTGAAAGTCAAAGTTTGCATAGGTTTAAGGACAAACTGGAGAAGTTCATGGAAGAAAGATCTATAGGGTCACAGAAGACACAATGCTCATGAACTCCCCAAGTTGCAAATAATCAGTCTGTTGCAATGCTTGGGAGAAGCATCACTACTCACTTGTCCTGTTTTCATAATTTTTCACTTGGTGTCCTGTTTTATCCATCATCTTGGTCTGATCCAGCACAGTTATTCTCATGTTCTTTATTAACTGACCATCGTGAATACTTGTATAGTGCATCTGTACTTTTTGGGTACATACCCAATAACTACAAGTTTGTCTCTCAAAATTAGTTCCCAAAGAACATTGCAGCAAGTCTGTCAGAATATAAATGTGTCGTGGTTTAACCCCAGCTAGCAACTAAGCACCATGCAGCCGCTCGCTGACTCCCCCACCGGTGGGATGGGGGAGAGAATTGGAAGGGCAAAAGGGGAAAACTTGTGGGTTGAGATAAGAACAGTTTAATAACTAAAGTAAAATAAAAATAGAACAGTAGTAATAGTAATGATAACAATAATAATAATAACAAGTAATAATAGTACAATAGTAATATAAAGCAAGTGATACACTGTACAATTGCTCACCACCTGTCGACGATGCCCAGCACGTCCCCCAAGCAGCGATTGTTGCCCCTCCCCCGGCCAACTCCCCCCACTCATATACTGAGCATGACATCATGTGGTATGGAATAGCCCTTTGGCCCGTCTGGGTCAGCTGTCCTGGCTGTGCCCTCTCCCAGCTTCTTGTGCACCTGGCAGAGCATGGGAAGCTGAAAAGTCCTTGACCAGTGTAAGCGCCACTTAGCAACTACTTAGCAAGAACCAAAACATCAGTGTATCATCGACATTGTTCTCATCCTAAACCCAAAACACAGCCCCACAACGGCTACCAAGAAGAAAATTAACTCTATCCCAGCTGAAACCAGGACAAAATGTAATATGAATTCATATAGTGTGAACTGCATTTAAAAATGAAAGAAAAAATAAAATACTAGTCCAAATATTTGTAGCTTAAATGTACATTTATATTTTTACCAAGTCTTCCATTATGGTATAAAACATTTAAGAGATTTTAACATTGCTGTGAAAATACATTACAGGATTATCTTTCGCCATCAATGAAATTAAGTGCTAAAATATATTTTTAAAAGCCATTATCTGCTTATAACCATATACTTATCTACTTAAAACTGAAAGGAAATGCACAAAGTACGTAATAAGGACTGGGAAGGCAGACAATTATAGGTTGAAGAATTTGACCTGTAATGCAGGTAGTATTGTTAATTTTTATATGGACCTCTTTTACATTATTAGCCTGCTTGAAAATCTAGTGAAATATACTCTGTAATTGAGCAGTGTCTGAATCATGAAATATGACAGTTAAGTATGTGTTTTACATGACAATTTTAGGATAAAAAATTCAAAATTTGGGTATGCCATTGACAGACCTCAATGAAACACTGTATGAAGAAGTATTGATTTGGTTCTGGTGGATTTGCTTTACTTATCCTTCAGTTGTAAGTGGAAAACTGGAGTGCTCAGACAGACTGCAAAATCCATAGTAGTTTTAAACTTGTGGTTAATATCATCTCTCTGATCTGATGATTTCATATCTCTTCAGGAGACTTGGGATGGAAAAGGGGACAGACTATATGGATATTTTCTGAGTAATATAAGTGGGTTATTGGTGTGGGCTCACTGCTACACTAAGCAGGTCTGTAAAGGACATGTGAATCCAGCCAGCAAAACACACAGATGTCAACAGGAAAGTTATGACACTTTTGCATAAACAAAAGCAAAGGGCTCGTGCCTCCTTTGCTTCTTACTTTCTTTGAGGAAGAGGGAAGTATTTGTCTCAGTAACAGTGACTAAAAATCAAGACTAGCAAACAGACAAGGTAATCTATTCAATAGTAATGGAATACATGAAACTAGATGTCAGCTGGGCTGTCCAACATTTTGCTATGCAATCAAGAGCAGTTCCTTTCCAGGCACTTCTCCTGTCATTGGCCACATAGCACAGGTCCCCAAATGACCCAGTAGGAAGTATCAAAGAAATCTGACTGGACTAATCAGAGATTCCTGACTGCTCCAGAGGGCAATAAGTGGGACAAGACCATGTATCAACCTCTTTGGGAGGCGCTGGAGGGGAAGGACTGCTCACTGCCCAAAGAAACCACACTTTGGTACGAAGTCCCTTGCCTAACGCGCCTTTTCTTTTCTAGTAATTTGCTCATACTATCCAACTATAAGGAAAGCATAAGTTAAGATCCAGCCCATTTGCAATAGAATAACATAAATTAAGAAGAAAGAGAAACTAAAAGTAACAGCTAGCTTCTGAGTATCTTTATTTTGAAGGTTGTAACCTACTTCAACTTGCCTGCAGACTTGTACACCAGCAACTCTCGTGATAGCATAAAACACAAAAATGCATCAAAGAATCTCTGGGATACAGGTGGTTTGC